CATAAGAACCTCGAGTACTTCATATCAGCATATGTTTTGAATCATCATCAAGCTTGTTGGAATATGTCTTTATCTAGATTCAATTTCAAGATCCCTTATCGACCCAAAAAATAACAAGGTCTATCAGATGCCTTTTTTAGATATTTTTATCTTGCACCAAAATAAAGAGATGCATATTTTGATTAACAAAGAATGATTCTTTTGAAGCCTAAGCATTTTCATCTTTGAGCAATAAAATAAACATTGATTATTGATTTAACCTTTATCAAGCAAATTCAATTAAGTATGTCCTCTCATCCTCTTATTCATGATATCAAGAATCTTTCTTCTAAGTTTCATGATATTTCAAAGTTCGACTTCAAGAAAAACTTTCTATATTTTGAAGAACGCCTATATGTTCTAGAAGGAGAAGCTCGTTTATATGTTCTTCAAGCACATCATGACTTTTCAGTAGCAAGATATTTTGGATACAACAAGATTTTAGAGCTTATATCTACAGATTTTTGGTGGCCGCAAATGTGGAAGATGATAAAAGACTTTGTATAATCATGTCATACTTGTTCAAGATTCAAAATTTCTTGCTATAGACCTTATGGATTGCTTCAACCATTACCTATTCCAAAACAACCATGGTCTTTTATTTCTATGGATTTTATCATAGATCTTTTAGTCTTAGGTTCACATGATTCCATATTCGTAATTATAGATTGCTTCACGAAAATGGCACATTTTATACCATATACAAAATCTATTTCAGGTAAAAAAATAGCTAAGATTTTTATTAACAATATCTATTACTATCATGGATTGCCAAAGGATATTATATTGAATAGGGAGACTCAATTTGTATCAAGATTTTGGAGAAAATTAATCAAGATTCTAAAGGTGGATATAAAATATTCTTTAGCTTTTCATCCTCAAACCAATTGGCAAATAATATGGGTGAATCCAATTTTGGAACAATATTTGAGTTGTATCAATAACTATTATTAAGATGATTGGACAACTCTTTTGCTATTGGCAAAGTTTACATACAATAATTTAATACATTCTTCTACTCAATAAACACCTTTCTTTACTAATTATGGTTATCATCCATGATTTGATACTTTTAACTTTTCAAAAGTTGATAATCCTACGACAAAAGATTTAGCAAATCATTTATCAGATCTACATGCAATAATGAAGATACAATTAAAAGAAGCTCAAGGACGACAAAAGACCAACATAGATGCCTATTGCAAGGAGTAACCACAATTCAACATAGGTAACAAAGTATGATTACTTTGTCACAATATCAAGACTACTTGTCTTTGTAATAAGTTAGACTATCATTGGTTGGAACCTTTTTCTATTTGAGAACAAATCAATCTTGTTGCTTATCGATTATATCTACAAAAGTCTATGAAGATCTACCCTGTATTTCATATGTCCCTTCTTGAGCCATATAAGACAATGAATATTTTAGAAAGAAGACAAATGCCACCTCCTCCTATAGAAGTAAATAACAATCAAGAGTTTGAAGTAGAAGGTCTTAGACTCAAAGCGGCTCTAAAATAGGTTGGAATATCTTGTTCATTGGCACAGATATGATATTAGTGAACGCACATAGAAGCCATCAAAGAATTTTATAAATACAGCAAAGAAAGTTGAAGCTTTTCATCAACAAAATCTATCAAAATCAAGATGAAGAATAGAAAATTTTTACTATAAAAGAAACAAGATCAAAAAAAGATAACTTCTACCTTCTATCTTTCTTTATAGCTTGTGTGATGCTAAAGAGATGGAGAACCAACAACCAATAGATTCAACTCAAGAGCTTTATTTGCAGATTTACTAAATGAAACATTGTGATTGTCACAACCTTCAAGACGATGAAATCAAAATGAAGATCCTGAAGAATGACATGTTCTTCTTCAAATAGATGGCAAGATATAATGTATTTGGCATCACAACCTTGAAAGAGATTTTTGCTATTTGATGATTTTATTAGAGGTAGAAACAACTCCTCACGGTGTTCCAAATGTTTTATTTGAAGGAAGTTATGAAAGGCTCAACAATGACAAATTAACATGGTAGTCTTCTCACCCTAATGTGGGACACTATCGATGGCTGAGAAGGCTTATCAACCATTTTCAAAGACAGCAAAGATTGGAGTATGTGGCAAATACAATTTGCCGCATCTTGGACTTTCTTAACATATGAAGATTGCTCTTTGTGGAATTCGTTCTTAAAAGGAGATAATGTCATAGACATATACATTTATTTCAATAATTACTTATATAATTAGATAGAAGTAGATAAATATAGATTAATTTCATAAAATCTTTTAGTGATGCTTCTTAGAAGCTTCATAGACGTGATTTTGACTTTAGATGTGTTTGTAGGTCAAAAACTTGGCCAACAAGTTAACTCCGCATAATAGCTTGTAGAACAAGCTAACCATGTCGTGCATACATAGATAACTTGTCTTGCAGGTTAAGACATGTGGCTAGCAAAGTCAACATGTTTTTGAGGTCCTATAAGACATCGCAACGTAGCTTCTAGTTAAGAGTATATATGGAGGCAAGAGTGAAGCCTTCTTCAGTCTTGTCAATGCTTTTCTAGTCCTTAGTCTTGTTTCAAGTCTTTTTAGTCTTTTTATTTTTAGTAATAGCCATTATAGTTAAATATTATATCACCTTTTGAGTAACTTTCTAATTTCCTTCAGTGACACAAGAGTGTATTGAGGATTTCCTTTCTTTGAGATTCATGTCTTTTATACTACACTAGCTACTAGTCCTCCTATTTTCTATTATTAAAATCAATATTTTTGTACTTTTGACTTCACTATAGTATTTAAAAACATCAAATTATCCCAGAAATCTAATTTAGCCTTCAAATCTTACTCCATTTCTTCATAATTGCTCTCAAAGTGGTAAAACTTACTTTTACCAAAGTCTTGGAAATTGCTTTAAAATTTCTTAAAAAATTCTAAATAAATTCTAAAAATTCTTATAATATTTTTATAATATTACTATCAATTTAAAGCTATATTTTTTATCTTGATAATTTATTATAGTAAAAAAATCAATCTAAATCAACTATTTATCCTATTTCTTATATCAATAACTAAAATTTCATGAGGTTCTTTCTTATGCTTCTTTTAACTACTTACTAATATTTATAGTTTTTCATAAGTAATACATATAGATATAAAAATAATATAGATATTAATCTTAATAACTAATCTTTAATACTCAATAATAAGTAAATTCCTTCCAACACTTACTAAGACTCTATTTTTACAACTAATATTCTAATTTTCTAATTGTCTAAGGACTTCTACACTACTCACCATATATTTTGATTTTAAATACTCTAAATGTATCTTTTTATCTTAAAATAATTAATAAATTGATTTGATAATTTATAATTACTAAATATATTTTTAATTATATATATATATATATATATATATATATATATATATATACATATATATATATATATTTAATAATAAGATATAATTACTTTACCAATTTACCTTATCAAAAACTAGATTATAAAAGAACAAGATCACTTTTCTTTCTCATTATTGCTATTCATTTGAATTTGTCCTACTAACGTCAAATCCATACAAATTAGTAAAATCTTGTGACACAGAGGTTAAGGTCAAAGTCAAAAAAGTACTCTTTTAATTTTTTGTGCTATGTTTACTTGTTGTGTAATTGTCGCTAGTACTTTCTTGAGCATCAATCATATGGTTCACAAATTTTTATGCTAAATATATTTAGTCTCGCATAAGAATCTCTTTTGTATTTTTGTCATCTCCAAATCCTTAAAATATAAAATTGCATGCCACATACAATCCAATCTTGAAATAGAATAATGCATACTGCCACATCTACAATTCTTCCTCCTCTGCCACTTTTCTAAAGTCTCTTTTAAATATAGTCACCCATAGTCTACAAACTAGAGTTTGATCCAATCATTGAAATCCTTTGTAAGTTGTTTCTTTATTCACCACCTTGAATATCCCAAAGCATTGCATCTAAACAAGTCAATAGCATATCCTTCTTCTTTTTGTTTTATACTAATGCCCTAACTAGCAATTTTTCCTGTTTTATTCTAATAATTACCTGAATAGAAGACTACATGTAATACTTTAATACATACAAGTTGGAAAGATTGCCAAATTTTGCACAACTTCAGATTCATGTTGATTTGTTTCTTATACCATTAGATTATTCTAATTTATCACTTTTTTGTTTTATTTTTTTTATTTTTTTTACTTATTAGGTGAATGCATTACTATAATTGAAGAAGCTCATTGCAATTATTGTGGAGCAAACTTAGGTGGAACAAATCAATCAATAAAGAGATACAAAATATATCTACTCACGTACTCTTCACTTGGTATAGTTTTAACCAAATTGTTATGAGTTTCACCTATTTGATATCTACATTTTGCTTCTCTCTCTTATATTTGTTCTATTTTTTTTAGTCATCTAAGAGCCATTCCAATGGTGAATAATATAGTTTCTTATTATGGTTATTTTATTTTATATTATTTTTTTATTTTCATCTTTTATTAAATCCAATTTTTGAGCTATGAAGATTATTACATACATATAGTAATTTAGGATTGTCTACTATTAGTATTTTTTAGAAGCTGAAGTAAGATTCAACATAAAGTTTTTTTTTTTTTTTTTTTTTTTTTTTTAAAATACAATATATTAGAAGTTGAAGTTAGATTCAGTCAAATTTTTTTAATAATATAGATAAAATAATACAGAATTTTTTAAAATGATATACATATAAAAATCATTTTCATTAGAAATAATTTATTATTAATTAAAAATTTGAAGTTTAAAAAATGCACAAAAATATTGGATTTTAAGGTAATAAGGCATAAACATTACATACCAATTTAAATGTCAACAAATTGGTTGTCACCTTCCATATCATATGACATGCACAAAAAAAAACATAAGAAAATGTTCATGGCATGTTGACTGGTGTATCATTTTTTGTTAGTTTGTAAATTACATGAAAATATACTGCTCAAAAATAATGTCGTTAGAGTTTAGGGCTGTGATAGATGCAAGGAGTGTATTCACTGAAAACAAACATACACTCTAGGCAGGAGATTAATACTTTCAATCAATCATTCATCTACATTGAATAAAGGAAGTTGATTTTCAAATTACTCAACTTCTCCAAAAGCAAGTCTGGCGATGCTCCAGCTTCTGCAAAGTCAGTTGCAGGGAACCGGTAGAAACGTGTTCTACAATGCCCCTAATCATGGTCACAGTTAATTGGATAAACCCATATTTAATGCCGCTACATGTAGCCATTCGTGGCTGAATCACAGAGGACGAACTTGCATAAGAATTGAAAAAGGATAAGGAATCGTCCATCAATTTTTTAGGAGCCAGAAGGTTCTTCAAAGAGTTCTTCAATGTAATGAAAATAGGAGAGTGAGCTTTATATTTTGATGATAGTCTTGTGAGGAAGAAATGCTGCTGTAACCGAGCCACGAGGATGCGGTCGCTTCCGGATCTTCCTTTCACGCTGAGCGACTTAATTCATAGCTTGTTTGGTTGGTCATCAACAAGAAGGAATGAAACAAGAATAGGAATACCAGGCAGCACTCTGTGGCGACGAGTGCAAGCATCACAAGCAACATAACACACTTTGCGGGCATCGCTGTGTGCTTCCCCTTACTCCTCCCATATGCGCATATAAACCAGACTATTGTCCACGTGACGAGTGCTGTTTCGCAGAAGATATACCACCAGAATTTTCTGTGATTTCTTCCACCAACGCAGGTTCCAAGCCAATCGCAATGGTGATCAAAACGGAGCACGCATTTATCACAGGTATGGCAGTGCTTGATGCTTAATATTGATGGCTGCCACAGTTTGCAATGAGGGCACCGCTTCAAGTTTGCTAAGTTATCGTTTGAGAGCATGAGCAACGGAGTAGCCTCCGACGCAGAAGGACACTCCCCTTCCTCATTCTGGAGGTTATCTGCATCAAAGTCTCCGCTGCTCTTGGAGGCAGGGTGGGAAAAAGACTCATGATACCTCTGACCTGCTTCAAATTCAAAGTTGAACCTGCCTTCCATCAATACATGATCAAGTAAATACTCGGGCTTAGATCTAGCAGCGCAGGCATACTGCACGAAGACCACGACCATTAAGAGGTAGTAGCATCCAGCCCATGAGGAGTGTGCCACAGTGTGCCGGTACAAGTTAGAATCCAGAACCAGTAGGCCCGCGACGACTACAGCGTGCAGCAAAACGCAAGTCATCATCCTTAGGCTCCATCCTGCGTTGCTAACCCATGTGCATCGTGCCCTCGTCATTACTTCTCTCCACATCCCTCCCACCAATGTTAGCACTACACGCACGTATAATCCAATCTTTCTGCTACTCTTGCGTACAAGTCTTCAAATCATCCAGTGGTCCAAAAAACTTCCACATCCCTTGCCCTACGCTCAGGGGAAAATCTCCTCAAACCGATCAAGATACTTCCACGGCAAACTCGAATACGTTAATCATATGAAGCCAGCAGAGGGGACATGTAACAAAAATGGTACAACAAGCAACGATAGCGACAAAAAGCGACAAAAAAGCGACAATGAGTCTGACGTAGAGCATCGGGACAGACGATTGCTATGACGCATGAAATTTTGGCAACGAGTGAAACACCTCATCTGGCATGCAACCAACAGCATCGACAGAGCTGGACCCGAATTCTAGCATTGAGTTTGCGTGGTGATAAAGGGATTTTTTATTATTTTAATACTCTAAGCATTCTTCAACAAAATAATACAACAAAAATATTAAATCAAATATTGTTAAAAACTTTATAAAGTATATTTTGTAATGCTAGCCTGGAAAAGGGGTTCTAAGCTGATAATTCTAACATTAGTAGTGCTCATATAAATCTTTTTCTATCTACTACTATTGAGTACAAGACACCAAAATAAATTTAAAATGGTAGAATTGTGGTTTTTATTATTTAGATTTAAAATATAAGGTGTTGAATATAAGGTGTTGAACATTTTTAAATATTCAACACCTTATATTTCTTTTAAGATATTTTTTTATTATTTATATATACAAACATATATATAACCTAAATTTTTTGTCAATTATACATGCCTAAATAATTTTTGAGAAATCATCTACAAAAAAAATAAGATGTAGTTTTTCACCTCTTAAAGCAATTAATATAGGCTACTACACATCTAAGTGTATACAATACAAAAAATATTTTAGAAAATAAATAGAAATATTATAATATATATAATATATCAATTTAACAAATAAAAATAAAAAGAAAAAAGAAGCAAACTATTAAGGATAGAATTTGACATAGGTCCAAAAAATAGGATTGAAGTAAAATAAATAAATAAATAAAAGTAATAATATTAGATTTATCAATAAAAATAGTTAATTTATTATAAAGAAGATTTTTTAATGGATAATACCTATACATGCATAAATATCAAATTTAGTCCACATGAAACATCATTAAATTTTAAAAATATTATTTAAAGTATAATAATTAGTATTTTGAAATACTAAATAGATTCCAAAAAATTAATATCTCACAAAATATATATTTACTATTCATAATTTATCCAAGAAATAATAAATTCTATATTATAAACTAATAATAACCCTACTACCGATCATACCCCACTATCCTTAACTACTTAATTATTTAGAAAATATTATATTTAAAATTAAATATAAAATAGAATATCATATTTTATTCAAAATATTACTCTCAAATAATTTTAAAGTTTGCTATTCTTTTAGATACATCATCTTAATGTTCAACCTCTTAGTCTGCAAATTATTTGCATTTCCTACCCTTTTTTTTTCCAATTTGTGGCTCAATAATAACTTGATTTAACAATAGCTTGATTTGCATGCATTTTTTGGTAAGAATTTGCACCTTGGCTTCAATTGTAAAGTCTCATACTTCATTAGGCAGTTGTTTGATTCTATACTAATATTTTTAGGATTTATATTTATTTAGGTTGTTATTTGATTCAATTTTGCATGTTTTTTTCTAATTGGCTAAATAAAAAATTATTGTGGCTCAATGTCATGCATAATATAAAAAAATTTCACTCATTATCAATGGTTGTTTTTTATATTAGAGCGTATTGCCTTGATTGAGTTAAAATAGTGATTCTTTGTTTATAAGTCTAATATATATATATATATATATATATTATATTTCGTTATTCCAAATTTTTTGTAACTTGCATGAAGTGAATGAAGTAAAATTGATTTAGATGAATAAATACATTTTTTATATAATCATTAAGCTATATATAGTAAATTTTTGAAAAGACCAATTAAAAATATGAAAAAAAAACATTAAGATAAATGATGATATTGATGTTGGGAGAATTCTGATGTAGAGTATAAAACAAACAAATATTTTTTGATTTAAGGAAATGATTTTAGAAATGATTTAATAATAACAATGTGATTTTATTATAGTTTATATGTGCTAAATTATATAATAGGTATGTTTATTATTGATATTAAACATTTGATGTATTTGACATTGCCTTGTTAAAGAAGATATGAATATATTAGTTTGGCATTAACATTAGGTATAATATCAAGTTATAAATATTTTAGTATTTACTTTTAGAAGCTTTTAAAGGATAGAATTTTTGCTTATTAAGATTAGATTTATATAGCATAACATATCATTGATTAAATTACTTTGCCTAATCATGTCTACTTCATTTTTTAAACTTTTGTTTAGTTTATATTCATATTTGTTATTAATTTTTGTATTGTGTATACTTTTAATACCTCCATTGTGAAGCATATATTTTTAATAGTGAGCAAGATATCGTCATAATTTGAATTTCATATTATATTTATTTATTCAAACTAATCTTAGAGGATTAGAAGTAGAGAACCAAATCTGTATTTGGAATGAAGAATTTATGAAGTTATATACTGAAGTTCAAAGTGATTTGGTCGTTGTAATATATTGATGTGTATTACACTTTTGCAACTAATATGAATAAATTAGATAACATTTCTTAAGTTATAATATTCTTACCTTTATAATTTTTGAACTTTGTTGTATGTACATAAGACTATTAAATTATAAAAGTTTTGCACATTTTTTAAGTAGTTATTTATTTTATATAGATTTTGTAAGAAAATAAATAATAATGGTCATATTTTAATTTTTATAAAATCATCTTTTTTTTATTATAGAATTAGGTTTTTAAATCATTTATTTAATGTAATATTATTTATTTTGTATTATATATAGAAGAGGTTAATATCAATTAAGACTATTAAATGATTTAGGACAAGATTAATACTATGCTTCTAAGTTTGTATAGAAGTTGTACTTTGCATTTTAATAAATTGATAGTTTTTTTTGATTTTGATACTTAATGATGCTTCAATTTTTAAAAAATAGGTTTATAATTTTACGAATTTAAAATATTTCAAATAGCCAAGTTGAGCATACGTTTTTTTGAAAGCTTTATCTAAAAGTTTTCTTATAGCTATTAAAATTGCTTATAATATTTACATTGGAATATTTCTTCAAATCTTTAGAGTTATTTTTTCATTCATATACCTTGTAATTACATATTTTGATTTTGATGTTCATAACTATTAGGCACAATATGCCATATTATTGTTTGAGAGTCATTAAGCTTATTATACTTATAAATTTTTATTATATTAAAAATATTTTAATAAGAATATATATTATTAATATATTAATATTAATTTAATTATAATATTATAATTTTAAAAATATATTTTATATTATCATTTGATAGATTTTTCTTAGATTTATTTAAATATTGATATAATATAAGATTAAAATTAGTATTATTTCAAATTGTAAGTAAAATAAGAACCTTGCTTGAAGAGTGTTCTAAAGAAGATTGGCTTGAAGTTGCAATGATATAAATCAATAACAAAGAAGCTTTTAGAAAACTTCTTTTAGACTTAAACAATAGTTTTGATACTATTTGTGGCATCTTTTAATGTCATTATCTATGGTATCTTTAATGTCATTATTTGTGGTATCTTTTAATGTCAATAATAATATACAAGTAAGGATGTAGAACTTACCTAATATCTTATAGGAAAAATAAAAGGTATTCCAGAGGTCAAAATAGGTGCATTGAATATTATCATATTTTCTAATAAATATCTTCATCTTAAATATAGAAGACTACATATTATAATCAATAAAAAAATAAATAAAAAAGTAGTGGTATATTCAACAAAATGGTTTGATTTCAAAGTACAAATAAGATTATTTCTACTTTAGATATATATGAGGACTTTTAAAAAATTATTTTAAAAAAAATTGAAATTTTAGATAAATTAAATCATCCAAATATCATCAAGTTTTTTGTTCTAATTTTCTTGAAGAAAGAAAAAAAATTAAATTTGTCATGCAATAAAGAGAGATTATCATGGACATACATATTTACCTTGATAATTATCTAAATAATAAGAATAGGTAGAAATAAGTCAAAGTAGATAAATATGATAATATCTTGTGGAAAGCTTCTTACAAGCTTCATAGTCACTACTTTGTCTTTATACATGTCTATAGGTGATTGGTAGGTTGAAAAATTGGCCAACAAAGAGGCCACATGTTGATATGATGACCACTTATAGTTCAAGTTGGACATATGGCACACACCTAGGAAACTTGCCTTGTAAATTAGACATGTGTCCTGCAAGTTGGATGCGTATTAGAGGTCCTATAGTATGTTGCTATATAATTCTTACTTAAGTAGTATATATAGAGGTAAGAATGAGACCTTCTTCATTCTTGTTAATGCCTTTTTTGCTTTTAATCTAGTTTCAAGAGTCTTATATTTTCTAGTTTTTGGCAATAGCCATTTCAATTCTTCCTTGAATATGCATACTTTCTTTTATTTTATCACTTTCTTTTTTATAAAGATTCCATGAATTTATGTATCTTCTTCTAGTTTTTGTCCTTGACAGATTGACAAGAGTATACATACAATATCATAGCTTTGTCCTTTCTTCATTAAGAGTGGATTATTTCTTTCTTTTGATAAGACATAAACGTATTAGAAGTTATAAATTACCCTCTTCTAAATTGATATTATTTCTAGATTTTTTTTTTCACTTGATTCTTGAGTATTGTATTCTATGAGAATAGACACCTTTCTTTTTATTGTGCTATCACGGCAAAGCTTGCTGAAATGAAGAGTGCAATGGTTCAAGTGTAAGAGCAAATGAGAGAGTGAATGCTTGTAATGCATTAACTCAGTCTACCACCATAAAGAGCAATAAGATTATCAAGCAATGAAGATATAGAGATGATTGGAGTTGCTTCAATATCTACACCAAGCCATACTACTACTCCTACAATGAAACATTGTTAAAGTTTTAAGGAGCCAAAAATTGAATTGCATGAGAAGTTTGATGGTATAAGATCTAAGTTTTGAGGATTCATCAATCAGATACAACTGGTGATTGAACTACAACTTCAAAGTTATTAAACACAAGGATCATAAGTGAGGTTTATTGGAATACTACTTTTAAGTTCTGCTTTATTATGGTTTTCATGATTTCTTGAACAACGTGATCAAATATTGAATAATTAGGAAGTATTCTT